AAAAAATTTAACATCTAAGCAAATATTTTCAAAATTTTATATAATAGCCTGCACAGCTCCCACTAATTTGTGACGTGACTGCAAGACATAAGAATGTCTTCGAGTTATCTTCGCGGCTGATACGCTTGATCAATTTCTCCTGATATTATGGATATCGATGGCAGATGACTTTTTGTTGGCCGTTCGAGTTTGCAATGAACGTGACTACAATTCCATCAGATCAGTGATTTGCTTTCAGAAGGAAGTCGGGCACGTCAGGGAGAGGATTTGAATCAATCAATAATATTATTCCGTCCTGTCACGAGCGTTAGACAAATAATAAATTCTGAGTCCCCACGAGGAATCAAACCTTAGACCTATGGAATACACGCACGGTGAGTCAGACTTAAAAGAGGTTTGCTTTTTCGTAGCAACTTTGAATTTTTCCTTGTCCCACGCTCGTGACAACTTTTTGTCAGGCTTTTTCTACAAATTTACTATTCCCCGCAAGATGACCAAAGGAATTCGTCTGATTTCGATATCACGTTATCCAGACGATATCATGTTATTCCAAACGAAATCTTATTCTAAAGCAAATCAGCCAGTCAAAACAGAGTGTAAAAGAGAACAATGCCCCTGTTATGATCGGAAGCGATCAAGAATGTAGCTTTAGCTATTCCCCTAGAGCAATATGTGCACAAAAAATCTCAGCCTAACTAAAACTTTGTCAGAAGTTTTCTTCTGCGTGGGTTGAATGCCTTTTTTTAGAATGTGTGTGTTGACTGTGAGTGGAAGGAGTTTTACTCTTTATTATGAATGTGTGACTCTGAATGACTGTCGCGTTACTTTGCTCTTGAAATCTCACAATCTCAGTTGATACAATCTGCATTCAAAATACGATATTTTAGAGGCTCTGGGCCAGGCTATGATCTGAAACGAATTTTTCGCCTGATGCCGTTTGTGCACGTGAAACTAGACTGAAGTGTGAGCTTCCGCAAACAGGAAACGATTAACAAAGCACTTTGTTTTCAATTACGAAATGTTAGGTCGTAGGTTACTCCCACGCCTTAGAGTAGCTTAATTTGAGTGCGCAGCTGTAGGACAGCATCACATCTTCTGGCACTGTTACAGCGAAGCCGCAGATTCTCGATCCCTACGCCGTTGCCTTGTCAGACACGAAGAATATGGGCGATGTCACGCTGCTCTATCGTCGCCTCGTGCTCCTCAAAATACGATCGTTTATTTTGTTTGTTTGTGTTTTTTTTCTCTTTTCTCTGAATAGGTTTGTAACGAGCGAAATTACATCAGATGTATGATATGAAGACAAAGAATAGCTAGTTTTGTTCCGTACCTGCAATAACTGATGTAATCATTGAAATAAAAGGTTCCGCGTGAACTGATAGATTATGTAACTTATAAAACTACGATCCTTTCTTTTAATTTGTTTTGTTTATTATTTTTCCTTTCTCTAAGTAAGTTTGTAGTTCCGAATTAAGCACGAGCGAAATTCAATCAGACGTATAATATGAAGACCTCGAATAGCTAGTTTTGTTTTGTACCTGCACTGACTGATGTAATCATTGAAATAAAAGGTTTAGCATCCCAACTGAGTGATCACATCCTTTATTCTTATGTTCGTAATGTTTGATTCAGGTACGGTATCATAAGGAAAATTTGAAGTTAGTCACTCTCAGAGATCAAAAGGTTAAGAACGAAGAAGAATATCAGATGAAGATACCTACAAGCCCTTTCTGTAACGATCGGAAACGACCGAGAATGCAGCTTTAGCTGTTCTCCTGAAGCGATGTGCGCATAAAAAAATCTACCTAAATCTTTGGGTAGACGTTTATTCTGCGCGGGTTGAACGCCTTTTTTTAGAAGTGTGGGCTAACCTTGAACAGGAAGAGGTCCACCCTTTGTCATGAGTGTGTGACTCTGAACCACTTTTGCGTTACTTTGCTCTGGAAATCTCAAAATATCAGTCGATAAATCTGCACTCAAATGCGATATTTTAGAGGCTCAGGGCCAGCCAAAGATCTGAAACAAATTGTTCGCCTGATGCCGTTTGTACACGTGAAACTGGAATGAAATGCGAGTTTGCGCAAACAGGAGGAGTTTGCAAGGAACTTTGTCATCCATTACGAAATTATAGGTTGTAAGTTACTCCCACGCCTTGGAATAGCTTAATTTAAGTACGCATGTGTAGGAAAGCATTATGTCTCTCTGCACTGTTACACTGAAGCCGCAGATTTTTGACCCCTACGTTGTTACCTTGTCAGACACTAAGAAATTGGGCGATGCCTATCCTCGCTTCATGCTCCCCAAGCAACGATTGTTTGTTTTCGTTTGGTTTTTTCCTTTCTCTGAATAAGTTTGTAACCTGGCGCTAAAATTTCCGAATAAGCACAATCAATTGACTAAAGTCAATCAGACGTGTAGTACGCTAGTTTTCTTTTGTACCTGCAATGACTGATGTAATCATTGAAATAAAAAGTTCAGCATTGCCAACTGAGTGATCATTTCCTTTTTTTCTCGTGTCCTTAATGTTTGATTCAGTGATGAAATAATAAGGAAAAATTTGAGGCTTATCATTCGTAGGGAATAGAGGGTTAAGAGCAAAGAAGAGTATCGAATGAAGCAACCTACAAGCTCTTTCTGTACCCATCTCAAACCCTGTACCCTGTTACAGGGTTTCAATTAGTTCAAGAGCTTTTACATTCAGGCTGTAAAAGTACAAAGAAATAAAGTGGGTACTTTCTGAAGAAACTGTGGTGCTACGTCGGTGGTAGAGTGTAACAAGGCCGAAATTTGGTATTTTCAACTGAGTTGATGACCAGGAAATTAGCCACCTTTGAGTTTAAAAGCTGACGTTTCGGGCGTTAGCTCCTCGCCAGAGCGAATAACGAAAGGATAATGCTCGAAACGTCAGTTTTCAAACTCATAACGATGGCCAATTCACGGTATCAACTCAGTTGATAATATCAAATTATTTTGCTAAAGAGCGAACCTTAAAATTAGCTAATTGCGGGGACTCTGGCATTACGTGTATGTTGTCTTCTTCTCCTACGTTCGAACAAACTATGTGGTAGAAAGTGGAGTCTTTCTCAGTTAGATCTTCAGTTTGCAGGCTCCATACTACTAGCTCATCCCCCCCTCCGAGGGGAGGGTTTGAGCGGATTTGGGAGGGGTGGAGCAATGGATTTTACGTTTTTCCCAATCCCCTTCCCACACCGTCCACTCCAACTCTTAATCAAACATGGCCG